GCGCCTCTTGATCGACGATGAAGTTGACGTCGCTCGATGATTATGGCGCCGGAGAAGGTAAAAATTCCAACTCCTCCCTCAGAATCTGACTTGAAAATTGCTGACCTCAAATCCTAAAGTGAGTGCGAGGTTGACGGTGGACGGAATGGTTTACCAAACCCTAGAGCATTGCGTTAAAGAAGTAACGCTTATTTTTTCGGTTTAGAAACCCTTACTATACTATATGTGTTGCCTATGAGAATGCGAATTTTTATTTTTATTTTTTCATAATATTATATGTGTTTTTAGGGGTAGCAAGAAAGCCTCTCCGTTTAGCTAGTAGCAACATCTTTGTTCATTTCTGTTTGAAGAAAAGGAAGAGGCTAAAGCCCCAATCCAATTATAGGCATATTGTGATTGTTAATGGCTTCTTCTTTATAATATTTTGACTAGTTTAAAACATGATATCAAATTGGGCAAATGTTTTACTTCGAATTTACTGTAGTATGTGTGGTTTAATTAAAGACGAGGTATATTTAGGGTTTCCTTCCTGTGTTAAGTTTATTGAATTTACAGTGAATTAATACTTATCAATATCAGTTTTGTATGTTTACTGAAGGATATCGATGGTCGCAATTCTTGCAGTTGAAGTACTCAACACTTTTGAAACCGGTTGGGTGCTTCAGTGAAAGCTAAGAAGCTTGGTTAAGGAGGATACAGTGAGTTATGTAAGGTACTTGCGCGCCCTGCAGCTAGCAGTCCTAGACTACTTTCATTTTCTAGATTTTATTTTGTAATATCTATTGTACGTTTGATATCTATAATGTATGCTTCTGAGCAGGGAGCCTTACCTGATGGTGGAGAAACTGCAATAAAATTTTGAACTTACTCATTAGTAGAAAGGACCGATCCTCACTTGACAGTCTTCTTGGAGGTACTCAAAACGCTCTGCTGTTCCTAGGATTACTCCAAGCCCTTGTTTGCAGTCTAATGCTATTTTCGTCTCTCGGTCTTTCTTCTATATGTAGGTAGCACAGAGTAAATAAGATGTTATAGATTCTAAAGTTATTCGAAATTTAATATTACCTACTTGTATATTTTGAATCCTGGGCAATAACTTAACTATCCATGGTTGTATACCCCTCTCTCTCATCATATGACTAATCATGTGATGATAGAGATAGAGAGATATACAACAAGGTATATGGAAGTTTCTCTTCTGTATCAGAGTTGGTAGATATCAATTCCAAAAGATCCCCTAATTACTAGTTTACGAAGTTTATTAGTCAAATTGATATATGCTTATAGTAGTCGTCATCCATGTTTCTCCCCTGGGATCCAAACTTGTTTTTGTGATGACATACGGTGTTGTGATAATTTCTATTGTATTTTAGTATGTACACACATGTAATGTGAGGATTGAATTGTGCTGTCATCTAGTTTCTGTATAGTTCTTTTTATTAATAAATATTATTATTGGGTGAAAATTTTGCATTTTTATTCAAAAACTTAAAATGATAATGATTACTTTTCAGCTGGGGCAAGGTTCCTTCTGCAATTGATTGGTGGCACTGATCCCTGTTACATTGAAGCATGCCATTTAGCTGATTCTATTGATGGGCACTGATCCCTGTTACTTTACAGGTACTCACATTGGAATTATTTTCAAAGCATCTTTGTTTTTCTTGGCAGACTCTAGTTTCCAGTTGTCTGTTTATCATTCTTATTCAATTTCGATGAGTGTGCAGCTGTGTAACCCTGTCTGCTATGTATTAGTGATGAATTATTGGTAAACAATGCATTACAGTAATTTCCTTTAGAAAGTTGTACTGTTAGTATTGAGGGTGGGTGGTTATGTTGTTTCTTGGGTTCTGATGTCTGTTCATATCCTTATCCTGTTGTTTACCTTGGCATTGCTTGCCTTAATGGATGCCTTTCGCTCTTGTGGTGAATTTCATGCATCTAATTTTGTGACTAGTTCTACACATCTTTTGTAACAATTATCCATATGCTGGACTTCCTGTTTTTCTTCTCTCTTCTCCTGTAATTACCTTTCTTGTTATCTGTCAATCTTTGCTTTTGTGCTCTCCTCTCTGCAGGTCATGTCTGCTGTTTGAGATAATATTTTCCGTTCATTGTAAGCGATTATGTTCTGGAACTTTTGCCATCATGGTTCTTCTAATATATATTTGTAGTCTCATCAATCAGGTCAACAAATATCATTTCGTCATTAGCTCCATAATTATCGTGTCCAAGTTTTTAGTTATTCCAGGGAAGTGAATTCAACTTGAATTTGAATGGTTGCGTAGATGCACAATATGGGAGTCCCAACCGTTCCAATTTCATATTGAATACCCTGCACTTGAACGACTATTCTTTGACCATCACAATAGCTGGAGCTAGTGACGGCTACAATATTTGTTGATCTGGTATGTATTATTTTCTTGACCTGGTTGATTCAGTTTTTTGGTTCAGCTTCTGATGCTATCAATTGCAATTCAGATTGGATTTAGATGTCTGGTTGGATAACCTCGCTGATGGGGCAGTTGAGTAGATATCTCAATGGAACGGATATTTATCGGACTGTCTTTTTTTTCTTTTTACTTTTTAATCTCTGATTCACTGTAGCTTTACTTCTTTTTTGTCACTCATCTGGCACAAAAAAGTGGGCGTAAATTTTAGTACTCGTGCTGAATAGGGCCCGAAAAGTGTTTGCCCTTTTGCATAAACATGAACAATGGGAAAGACCTTAGACATGCATAAAGGAAATGTAAGGCCTAACAAAAGCATCTGGTTGCACAAAATGGCTACAATTCGAAACTGATACAGTTGTGCTTGGGGCCTTTAATTGCCGAAATCAAAATGTCATTATTGGGCTTAAAACGATGTGAGCTTCAAAAACGTAGGTGTTCAGACAAAAACCCAGAAATGAAATTATTGGACTGAAAATTTTCGGCATGCTTTCTTAATTTACTGGCCCCGAATTTTACCCAATAACGTGAATGAAGACCCCAGGTTGGCCTGGTAATTTGGTAAAACGTACAAAATCAGCCTGTTATTTTGGAAACAGGCCCAAAAGTTGGCCCAGAAAATGGCCTCTTAATGTGAAAACTAGCCCAAAAGTCGGTCCATTGGTTTGGAAAGAGGCCCAGATATTGGCCCAATAACGCAAAAAGGACTCAACCGTTGTCAATAATCTAAATGAGGCCCAAGAATTGGCCCAGTAACGTGAAAACGGGCCTAGAAGTTGGCCCAGTAATTTGAAAACAGGCCCAGAACTCGACCCGATAAAGTCGAAGGGGCCCATAAGTTGGCCCAATAAATTGAAACAGGACCAGAAGTCGGCCCAATAATGAGAAAACAGGCCCAAAGGTGGCCCATAAGTCGGCCTTATAACGAGACAACATACCCAAAGTTGGCCCAGTAATTTGGAAACAGCCCTAGATGTCAGCCCAAGAAGGCAAAAAAGGGCCCAGAAGTTGGCCCAATAATCTAAAAGAGGGCCAGGAATCGGCCCAAAACATGAAAACGGGCCCCGAAGTTAGCCCAATAATTTGGAAATGGGCGTACAACTCGGCCCAATAACGTTTAAGAGGCCCAGAGTTTGACCCAATAATTTGAAACAGGACCAGAAGTAGGCCCAGTAAAGATAAAACAAGGGTAAATACAGCCCAACATGCGAAAACTGCCAAGAAACGTCGGCCCAACTTGAAAGGAGGCCCATAAGTAAGCCCAAGTAGATGAGGAAGGGCCTAGAAGTCGGCCCAGAATGGGCTTACTAAAGAAAGTTCGGTCAGAATTTTAAAATTACTAGGCCGTCAGGAATGATGGATTAGTCGGCCTAAATCGTTTAGGTCTTCTGGTGCAATTAATTGGTACATAAATTGACGGGATTGTGCCGAATATGTTACTGTTCAAAACTTTCAACTATTCTATGACCATCAATGCATCACTTTGGATGTAGTTTTGAAATAATCAATATAGTAAACCAATGATAAAACAACAAACCAGAACAGGAAAATTAATTACAACACATGAAGAAACAAATTATTCATATGTTAACCGTCTGAGGAACACTGCTGTAATCATCAAAGTCAAATCTTTGTTGCTCTCTCCCGACCTGAAAATAAACAGGAAAACTTCAAATAAAAATTAATATTAGCAGGTAATAAACATAGGATAAGATGAGATGTCTTTATCCTAAAAATAAAATACACGTCCACTGATTGGTATTGTCCTGGAGACATTACAATGGAAAGATCGAGTAAAACTGCCATTTGTCTCACTGTGAAAATGATATGGCACTGCAGCCACATTCTGGGAAACTAACGGTAAACAGTAAACAGTTCGCCTCTGTATTCAGGTGCTAATGTGTTCCATCATCTGTCAGGTTTTATAATACTCAAGAAATTTAACCGTTGCAAAGACCTAACAACAATATTTCAGCTTTCCACAGCAAAGTCTGGTATTTAACTGTGCAGCCTACTCATTTTAGCACATTGTGTTTAATGTTCACAATACTTATTTTAGTATTTTCAGCTTTAAGATTCCGGAAAGCTTCTATATTTTAACGAACGGTCAGATCCATGACAATACACTACATACAACATGAAACTGAGTATAAAACTAGAAGAACCAAAACCAGCTGGAAAATTCGAAATGACCCAGGTACCCCCACACACATGCTTGGTAATCAGACTGATTATATCAAGACTTAAAATTGAAGAAATCACAAAAGGCAGGATTGATTTAAATAAATCCATCTACACAAAAGTAGAAAAAGAAAAAACCAATGGAAATGAGCAATGCCAAATCTAGCAATTAGGTGTACCTGAAAAAGTTCTTCGGATTCCTCTTAGCTACTAATCAGGTGTCGTTAGGGACTGGTAGAGAACTGTCACCAGTTAAAGAGGAATAATCAGAATATCCTCACACAAATAATGGGCATAAACAGATGAACAACAGAGTACTCCTACCCCAACTGGAACTACACATGAACAACTAATTACTAGTCCCATCTGGTTACCTCTCTTTTTTTTGTTATAAATTGTTTGAACAGCACTATCATTCCTCTACATAACACAAGAATCATAATCCTAACAGAGTAATAGTGAAATAAGAGTCCTTCAGCGTACTTTTATACTCTATTTATGACTTTATGTATATCATTAATGAAGAAAACTCGCTTTATCAACAATTAAAATAAAAATTGTTTAAATACCCTTAACAATTATGGTGATTTTATCCAACTCAATTATATTTTTTTTTCAACTTACCCACTTACTCTAACTTCTGATGTCTGATCCCATTTCCATACTTCACTTAAGACTTTATCTATACTATTAACTAAGAAAACCCACTTTGTCAACCATAATGTCAAAAATACCCTTACCATGGTAATTTCATCCAACTTACCCATTCACTCTATAACTTCTATCCCGCTTCTTCTCTCTCACACACATTGCTTAGTCCCTCTAGTATATTTTATGTAAACCAAAATAACGGAAATCCTAAAAGCCATACGCCTCAACCCCTTGAGGCTCAAGGCTTTAAGCCTTTTAGGACAGTTATAGCAGCCTTGAGGTGTAACAACCTCAACTAAGTTCATTATCTTTCTACGCACCGTTCTACTCCTGCTCTGTGAATTCAATATAGCAGACAGAACTGAAAACCCCCCTACATGCTACAACACACATGAAAATGATTAAACTCTACTTGCTAGATATAGGGATTAATTTTGCATCACGGCAGGACACTTCACGTAATTGCTTCTGCGATGACCTGTTCACATATTTGTTTAGAATATGCTATTAATCTCTAGCTTGCTCCAGACAGTAAAACATACCATGCAATAAACAACCTGGCCAGTTCAAATGAAATTACAATGCCATGTGTGGTTCGCTTTGATATCAGAAACACTACTGACAATACATCAAATCAAACATGCAATTTCTCATAAACCAAGAGCGATGGACCATGCCAATTATGACCTACCGCATAACAAAAATTGGCCGCAAATTTTAGACAAACGAGAAAATTCAAGAAATGGTAACAAATATAATGTGCACTGCACCTTACCAATTGTCTCGTTCGCCAAAACCCTTAAGCATTATAATTATCCTGAAGCGAAACAAAAAACTTTAAGCCCTAGCAAGAAACTCAAAGAACGAGGGATGAGAACCAAAAGTTCCGAAATTAACCTGAAGATCTTTGCGCGAAGCTACGTAATGGATGAGCCTGTGATTCTCAGCTTTCTAAGGTATTTCTCCGAGCAAACGACCTTTCAAGCAGGTAGCCATTCTTGTGATTTAGCCTATCCTTTTGAAGATTCAGAGGGGATCTTGATCAGATCTGAATCACATGACGGACGCCGTCGCTTCGCATGGTCGCCGGAAACCCTCATTTGCGAAACTCGGAATCTTCTGATCTCTCTGTGTCTCCCTCGTCTACGCTATACTCTCTCTTCTTCTAAACGATCTAGTCTGATGTGTTTTGCTGTGGCTAAGCCCGCGTCTTTAATTCTTTCTCTACTCTACTGTTCTGCTTTATTCGGGTCGGGTCTAATCCGTTTTTCTTGTGGATTAAGCCTATTCACTACATTATAGGGCATTTAGATGAAAAAGAGAGGGGTGGTTACAATAAGCCCAATGATAGTGTCCATGAGTATGAGACCAGCATGCCCTAATTAATCAACATCTCCTTTAATTTTTCGAATTTAAATTACGGATATAAAATTGACAAAATTAAAACTACATGGAAAAAAGAAGTAAAAGTTACAAACTAATGACTTAAACTGAATTTTTGCCTTAATTTTATACGAGGCTATAGTGGGTGCAATGTGGTGGTGATATGACATGTACGTTTGAGATTTCGGTGAGTTGTGGCGTTGCACGGCGAACAAGTTTCGGTGCGTCTAGCTTTTCGGAGAGGAGAGTACGGGCACACATGACCGGAGTAGTCTATCCATAGCAGGGGCATATATATTTTCTGTGTGTTCAAAACTTTGGCTATATATACACACATACACATTTCACTTAATAAGGAGGACAATTGTATGACACTAGGTAGGTTAGGTATGTGGGGCTGTCATCATATTCTCCTTCCAACAATTTTTTAAGAAGAGAAAAGAAAACTTAGTTGTATGAACGGGCACTGCTTTCCTCTCCAGTTCCAGAAGCAAGGACGAATTCTACATATAGATTTTTGAAGGCAATCATCACTGTCATCAGCAAAGGACCCATAATCGCTCCCTGTAATTACAAAACCAAAAAGGCAATTCAAACTCCATTAATTCATGCTGTTAATTTAACTTTAACTAAGAAGAATGTGCATGCAATATAATAATTAATAATTAAAGGTCCGGAAAGAAGGAAAGTCTACTTCCAACATGGATGGGAAAAGAGCAATGCCACCAAGTATGCTAAGGCCAGTGAGGTAGGCATTCTGTCCCGGGATCTCATCTTGGATGGCAGTTGTGCCATACTCCAACAGTATCTGATGAATTACCGTCAACAAAATGGCATCTATATATCTTGCTTCCATGGCCAGTTGCAGCGCCGCGGGGATTGACAGAAGCCAAGCCGGCGTTATTTGCAAAACGGCACTCATCAGGGCAAGGGAGGTAGACATGTAGAGGAAATGGATGCGGTAGAATCTGAACAAGAGATATGTGAGACACCCTTGAAAGAATGTGACCTTAGCAGCTGCCAACAGCACACTGCTCACAGCATGATCAAGCACTTGGGCGCATCGAACCCTCGTGTATTTCGAAAGCGGCAGCATCCCCAGGACATGATCCATAACGCCGCCGGAATCAGTGGTGATCAGGTAGTACAAGAGCCAGAAGAACACCGTCAATTCGAAGAAGAAATTGAACAATCCAGCGGCTCCTGAAACCAGAGAGACTGCCATGAAGAACAACAAATTTGCACCTCCCGCCAAAACCATGGTACCACTAGCAAGTACCCTTCTTGAGACGTCCAGACCCTGTAATAAAAATGATTTGGTTTTCTCTGCTAAATCTTCCCTGGCAATCAAAGCCCTGAATTCTCTAAACACGAGGTCAATATCCTTATAAATCACTCCCCATTCTCTGTTCTTCACCCTCGATTGGATGCTATGCAACTTGTCCGACAAATTAGGCTGAACATGAACATTACTGTTGCTAATCATTTGTTCATGCTGATGATTAAGATAATCACCATTCGTGCTAATACTCGAAACATCGACGGCCTCCGATTTATTACTCTGCGACATGGGATTATGGTCGTGATTAGTGCTCAAATAATGCCTCACGCTGTCCACAACCTCGGTCACATTGTAATGCGCCGCCAAAGAATCGATGTTCTGTGAGACGGTCTCGAAAAAATTGGTGGCGTAATTATCAATCAATTCTGGGATTTGGTTCTCATTCATCCATCTCTTAAATCCAACCCTCTCTGCATAATTATAGTTCATCTCTTCCAAATGGGCTTTGAGTGAAATCACAGTGCCCTTCCCTTCCATTGCGATCTTATACGAAAAGAAAACGAATCCAAACACAGACCCAACAATCATAACCATGATCAAGCCAATCGCAACCGTCGTCTTCAACCTGTTGAGCATCAAACAAGTAATGTACCGGCTAAATTTGCCGCCCAAATTAGCAGAGCCAGAGCTATTGTTACTCTTATCATTGTTGTTCTTGGATTTTAGTCTACGTACGGACGAGATTGCCGAGAGTGTGGTTGCAACGCCAGGATCGATTAATATGCTTCTGCAACCAAGGGCATAGGCGACGAAGCAGGCAAGTGCAAAAGCCGGGACAGAGACGAGGCCGATGCTCTCGTAGACTACGACGAAGAGGGCAAAAGAAATGAGCCATTGGATGAGCTTAGAGAACCTGATTTGTCGTTTTCTGCGGCGAGGTTTGTTGGGGCGGCGGAGGAGGCAGCACCGGATGGCGGTATGAGAATCGAAGAGGGAGGCGGTGGTGGCGCGAAGAGCAGCGATTGGGAGGGCAATTAAGGTTTCGAAGAGGCCGAGATTGAGGGAGTGGGACCAGAAGGAGACGAGGGTGGTGTGGAGCTCGCGAAGAGGCATGGAGCAGAGGATGGCCCAGTGGATCGGGCGCCAGTAGCCTTGGAGAAGCTTGGTGACGCCGTAGAGGAGGGCCAGAGAGAAGGCGAGGCCTGCGTGAGCCATGGCCACGTACATCGCGATGCGAACATGAGGGTCGTCGATGGGCAATGGTGATGACGACGATGATGGGGATTGGAATTCCGGTTCAGGTTCGGGTACGGGTGGTGGAGGTGGGGGTGGGGGTTCGGAATGCGGGTCGGGATCGGCATCCGGATTAGAGTGGTTATTTTTCCTTTTGCGGCGGCGACGGTGTTTATTGGTTTTTGTGGGAGGAAGAAGATTTTGGGTGATAATCGGTTGATTTGATGACATTGATAATCATAATTTTGTTGATTAAATTTGGTGAGTTTAGCCATGTGTTTAAATTTGGATGAGATTTAATTATTTAAGTATTTTTTATTTATTTATGGGGAAGAATTATCCGAGACTCTCTGCCTTCTGCGTGCTACAAGTGTAAAAAGGCCCGCGCGAACTTAACTAGAAGTCTAGACGACCACACCCCAGAAATGGAAAACGCTCCAGCTACCGGCATGCTGGTTCTACATTTAAATAATTTAATTGGTACTCTGAGGAGGCAGGAGCTGAGTTCCTGCTACCAGAAACACCGACATTGGAGATGTCCCGGTCGGTCGGGCTGTTGTATTTTCTTTTCTTCTAAACTACTCTAATTTACAAAAAGGACGACTTCAACTTGAGTGTAAGGTGGTTGTTGTGTATTTATTTTTTTATTTGAAGAGTTTTTTTTACTTATTTTTAACTTTTTCAGTGGTGTGGAGAATTCATAGTTTATTGGATATTAATCACCAAAAAAAAAAAAAAAGTTTCAACACATGTTCTATTATGATTTGTTCTAATTAGTGCATCAAATCTTTAGTTTCCCTTGTGGAATAGAAAAACTTACTTATAACGAGAATAGCTTCGGTTTTGATTTGATACAAGGAGGTTTCGTTGACCCATTAATGTGGATCGTAGTGCACAGAGGCTTCAATTTGATACTTGGAGGTTTTGTTTTGATTTGATACGTGGGATCTTAACTTTGTTGATAAATAGGATCTTAACTTAAATTTGGCTAATAGAGAAACTTGTTAGGCATTGTCACGTGAGAGAGAGTTGTTATGGGAAACTTGTTTTAAGATTGGGTTAAAATAAAAGTGGAAACATGTAGATTTGGTTTGGTCAAAAATTCCTATTGGGCTCGAGAGCACAATGTGCAATAAAACATGAGGAAGGTAGCCTAGCCTAACAAAAACCCAAAAAGCTGACGGCGTTTGCCTTTCATAAAAGGAAGTTAAAGATTCATTCTCAGGAATCGTTATTGTATTTCCAAATCAGAAACACTAAGAAAGAAGGGAAGGCTGACCAAAAAGAATAGTAAGTTGCTTCTAACTGAAACAATGGATTCGGATACCCACAAAAGCCAATTGATAATATCACGTCTTCAAGCAACCAATCCCTATATTGCCATTATTATTATTATCACTATTGTAGAGGGAGAGGCTAGCTAAAGGCTAAGAGCCTCACCTAACAAAAGGAAAACTCTTGCAGACTGGAAAGAGAGAGTTTGAGACACAGAAACTAAGAGATCATGGAGGAGCTGGTGCTGCAAAACCTATTCAATGGCGATCGAGAAGCACAGATTGAGGCCGCCACTGAACTCGGTAAATTGAATAGCAAGCAAAGGCACAAGTTGGCTAAGAGAGGTGTTATGGTTCCATTGATTTCAATGCTTCATTCGCCAGATGTTGAAGCCATTAAAGCTGCTCTGTTTTCTCTGCTTAGTCTTGCCTTTGGCAGTGAAAGGTTAGCCTCCTCTTTCACCCATTACTGGGGCTATTCAAATTACCATAAACTTATAGCATGGGACTCTCTCTAACTCTTGCTTCTTCTGTTCTGAACGATTAACTTTCTTTCTAATTTTACAGGAACAAGAGCATGATTGTGGAATCAGGGGCTTTACCGGTGTTGCTGAACCTCCTTCGATGCGAAAGCGAGGCACTGATTGAGCTCACAATAGCAGCTTTGTTGATTCTCTCATCTTGCAAGACAAACAAGTTAGCAATTGCCAAATCTGGAGCCATCCAACTCATGGTTGAAATTCTCAACATGAACAACGTGATTATTAGTATGCAAGCCAGACTCGATGCCATAGCCGCACTCCACAACCTCTCAACCTGCCATCAGATTGTACCTGATTTGGTCTCTGGTGGCGTAATATTTTCCTTGCTGCAAATAATCCAGTACAGCTTGGAAAAACCAGGCCAGCTGGTTGACAAGGCAATTGCACTGCTTGACGACATCATTTTTTCATCGAAGAACGCACTCAAGGAAGCTGCTGCTACGCATGGCGCGATTAGAGCACTGGTTGAGATAATTGAAGAGGGGTCAATGGAGCGCAAGGAGCACGCAGTGAGAATACTCCTAGTTATATGCCAGAACTGCAGAGAAATATACAGAGGATTGATACTCAAGGAAGGAGCAATGCCTGGACTGCTTCAGCTGAGCGTGGACGGAACATGGAGGGCTAAAACTATGGCACGGGAGTTGCTGTTTCTATTGAGAGACTGGTCAGGCTCAGGTTATGGTTCGAGCAACCAGCAGTCGAGGAATAGGGTCATAGAACAGATTATGCAAGAAATTGACGCAGAAGAAGAGAGAGTTGTGGGGACAAGTACCACATCTTTGAAGCTGGTGGAGGAGATGCTTGCAAAGCTCAGTGGTATACAATGATCTCGACCAACTATTTATGATTATCAGATTATACGAGTTTTGGTCCTGTAGGCTGTAGGTAGACTTACTCATTGCACCATTGTGAAAATGGTGCCCTCTCTATAGAATTGGCTTTCGGAACCTCTTATGACAATTTAATGTGATTGGATCTTTAACTCTGACATTTTCTACAGATTAAGATGTTAAGAACATAGTGTTCATCTCGTTTATTGAATAAACGACAAGGACAACAATGTCGTTCTCTGTTTCTCTCAAACTTCATAAACGTCAAGGTTTAGATTTCTTTCCAGTGGAGATTTAATATTAATTTTAGCATTAAATAAAAAAAGATTCGGGAGGAAGGTCAGAACTGCTGCAAACTGCAAAGTATCCCATTCTTCCCAATTGAAAAAAGGTCACATAAATATATACCCAAGAAAAAAGAAAACAGGGAATGTGACGAAGGAAACATAGAAAAACACCACATCAACATTAAGCAAGCAGCCTCATAGCAAATCCCACTATCAAGATAAAACCATTCAACAAAACAACAAATTTCAGTCGTGTACAAAATATTTTTTACTATGGCCTTAGCTTCGGGAATTCATCCCACCCTCCTAAAATGAACATATAGCTGCCATTCTCCTTTCATATAAGCGTATGGTTTGAAGGATTATTATTTTGATGTTATAGCATCTTTCTATAAAGAAAAAAAGAAAACAGCGTCTCTACATCATTGGAAAAGCATGGATTAGAATATGTTTCAGCCTGACCTTCTATAAAGGCTGTAGGCCACAGCCACTGTTGCCACTGCTCCAACCACGGCTGCAGCTGCAAGAACATCACTTTGCTCCCATTTTCCAATCAAGCTTGACAGCCTGCCCAAGGCATCCTTCTTGCCACATGCTTCAGTGGTTTCTTTTAGTTTCTCTTCCTCGCTTCCACCATTCTGCTCCAAACTTACATCTTTGCAGCATGTAAATCCATTAGCACCCTGGCAACAGCCTGAGAAGTTCTCATTATTCTGAATCTGATTGCCATTTTCTTGGGGCTTCTCCTCGCTTTTCTTATTATCTTCTCCATTTGGGAGCTTCTGGCCATTAATTTTTTCACCTTCTTCAGAAGATACTCCCATTTGGCCCCTGTTAGGAATGAAATTGAATTTCATGTTCAGCTTTTAAAATATTAAATTCAAAGTCTCATCAGTAGCAAGTAAGCAAGAATAGAAGCATCAATAATTGATAGGCTCGTGGTGGACAAGAACTCCAGGTAGAATCGGAAGACCATAGGCAAAACCAAAAAAAACACAAACCTCCAAAGTCGTTCTATGATCTCTCCCTTTCCAATATGCTGATCAAGCAATTCCGGCACATCATCAGGTGTGACGTAGCCATACCTGCAATTAATAATAGCACATATTCAAAACACAATCCATTATTGTCAAGTTTAAATTGCTATGATTGGGATATTACCAGTGGCCTGTTAGGATTCCATCCGAACCTGGGCTGTAGATAATCAAGTTCCCAGCATACTTGTGGCCTCCAATGTGAGAGCAAGGACTAACGGACACTTGATTTGTAAGTCCTCGCAATTCAGCCTCCTCTCTGAACTTATCAATGAGAACAGGTCCACAAACACCACATCTTCGATCTCGACTACCATGTGCACATACAAATACATGGGAGCCGGTCAACGCCTCATGCATTCCAGATGCCCATGGTTTATTATTCACAAGGACATCATCAACGAAGCTATCCACATCTGACTCTTTCAATCCCCTTTGATCAAGAAACAAAAACAACCTCAGAGTCACATGAGAAATTTACAGGAAATAATAACCTAACACTCTTTAATTCTATAAAAGGACACAGTCATAGACTGAACCACATAAATGCAATTTGTAGAACAAAATTCAGAAGTTTGCACAAATCTAACTAGTTCATTGAATTTATCAGAATCTCTTAGTCAGCAAGGGAAGTCAAAACAGAACTAAAACACTAAATATGGCCATACCTCGCATCCAATCAATTGCCAATAAAATCAGCATAATCTCAGAGTGAACAAGGAGAATTTGAAGGTCCAAAACACACTAGACTAGCTCAACTTGAGACTTCAGAAAGTGGAATCTCAAAATCATAAGACCTATCCCTAGCTAGAACTCAGCACAATCTTGAAGTCAAGCTAAGCAAAATTTGAAAATCTAAACACCACTCCTGGCTAATAATTTAAATCTAGTAAGTTCCGATCAAATTAACGCCATAAGCTCAGCTAATTAAGATGAATTTACCTGTATTTGATCATTTCTGGGAAAATCAACACATCGCCATCGGAAAACTCAGTTCCTTCGCGTCCTTCACATACTGTCAGCTTCGTCTATCAGAAGGAAGAAACAAAGTAACCGAGTCAACTCATTAGCTCCAAGGCATAAAAAAAGGAGCATGAAAACGTAATTAGAAACACAGAAGTAGCATTCGAGCTTCACGCGGACCTTAACAGAGATGTCGTTCTTGCGAGCTTTGAGAGCAGAGGCGAAGAACTTAGGTAACGGATCGGACTCGGAGCCCTCGACGCGAGAGGGCCAGGCCTCAGGGGTCTTGTAGCAGAGGAAGACGTGGCGGTCGTAGGCGTCAACGGTACCGGCGAGCTTGGTCTCGTACATCTCTGATCTCTGGAAGCCGTACTTCTCATCTTCGGCCGGCAAGGTGGAGAGGTCATCGGAGGCCATTGTTAGGGTTCGCAGAGAGCGAGGAGGAGGGAGCAGTAGAAGGGGTTGTCTAGTGAAGGTTGAGGAAGTTGAAGTTGAAGTTGAAGTTGAGGGGGAAATGAGAGAGAAGTTGCGTTGGGTCACTATTAATATGATGAGGCTGCTTAGGGGACGGTGGTGTCGGTATGGGTATGGGTGAGCAATGCGCATACGGCATACGATGGGTTTTTGAAGATCGGAAAGGGAGATGGATGGATGGGTAGATGGGGGATAGGGTGTGATATTGTAGGGCAAGAAAGCGTGGGTACCGTATAACAGCGCAGAGTGAGCGTGGTAGAAACGCGCGGCAATTGCAATTACCACTAAATTACTATAGAAAATGTCAGCTGAGAATTCCCTACTAAACAATTCTCAGCATGATTACTTATTATAATTCAATTCCTGTTTTTTTTTTTTTTTTTTGTTATTACACGATAAAATCTGTAATTAAATATAAAAATAGACTAATTTAAGGTTTTTGATTCTCTAATTTAAGTTTCTATTTTCACGACGTCTTCCATTCATAATAAGTAAATATGTCACAACTCAATTACTAATTACTAATTAATAGGTAATAAAGGTTGAATGTTCGTGTACTTAGGATTAAAAGTGATTTTAGCCTAAAATTTGGCAATGGAATAAAAACTTTGGGATCAGATTATCATAATCCCATTTGAATGAATAATGATTTGGACAAAAGAAAATGAAGGAATGTGTTTTTCTAGTAGCAAGTGATTTTGATTTTAACTTGGGATTAGATTATCATAATCCCATTTGAATGAATATTGGAGGGAAAAAGATATTTCTTGCACGCAAAGATGGAGGGTCCCTACCTAAAGAAGAGGACCACTCACTCTCAGTTCACTTTCTGTACCTGGAATCTGGGGTACAAGCGCGCTCATCTAAACTAAATCTGAGATTCCCCTGCAGCCTGCAGATACATTCTTTAGATAGGGACTGAGGTCAAAATTGTAAAATTTGAGAAATCTTTTGATTAAATTGGTGAAGTGGCCACCTACAATTGGGCCTTCACATTCTGTCATGAAACAGACGGTCATTTCGTTTGCCTCAAAGCCCAACTTGGACAAACTTCTAATACCGGTTTAATTTGTCACATCACACAATTGATTGGGTGTTACGTATCCTAATGTTTAAATATGAAGTGTAAGGAGCGGTGACTTCAAAAAAATATGGAGATTTATACATATTATTACATCTTCATGGTGTTTCTGTAGGTCTTCAAACCTGATGGTAAAACATATCTTCGGGTCGGGCTAGGCCAACCCGATCCGATCAGTATATAGGCCGAAAGGCAGACGGTCCTATACAAATGGTTTTTTCTTTTGATTTTTTTGAGGGAAAAAAAAAAGCAAGCATTCATAAACATCAAAGTACGATTGCAGAAAAAGAAAGATCAGCAATTTCATTCCTCATTTTCAATGCATTTGCATTTTCTCAATGCTGTTATCATAATGGTGCAGTTACATGTTCCTATCAAAGGAACTACCAAGTTGTATTCCTTGCAATGGAAAGGAACCACTGCAGCGCCCACACGAATCAGTTGGAGACTTTGTTCATCCAAGGAAAACAAGGCTAAGAATCAAAAGAAATCAATCTCTAAATAATTACCAGAAGGCTTCAAGTCAACACCCGGCACCTTCCCGTTTATTGGTGGCTTTGGCGCATCAGGACTTTCCAATATGTAGTGCTTTGGCACCTGGGGTGGAGTTGTACAGCGAATTAGTGCCCAATTCACGCTTTGAAAAAATGGATGCTGTTTAACTTCTGTAGCCCCTCGCCTATACGCAAGACGATGCTGTGGCTCTTTCACAAGTAAACCTCTGATCAGGTCCCTTGCTGCAAAGCTGACAGAAGGTGACTCTGGAAATCTTAAAGGCTGCCCAACCACATTAAACAAAGTAGCCCGGTTCCCTGCCCCCTTGAATGGAGTTTTTCCAAACAAAAGTTCATAGAGAAAGATCCCGAATGTCCACCAATCCACAGCACTGCCGTGGCCTTCACCTTTAATAATTTCAGGCGCCAAGTACTCATGTGTTCCCACAAAGGACATCGATCTAGCACTCGTGGGTTCTGCAATGAGCTCAGGGAGAGGGCTTACTTGATTGTGTATATCATTCTTCACTTTGCTCTTTTTATCCTTCTTGGGCTTGCCTGATAAAAAGCGAGGAGCAAAACATGTCGGTGTAATGCAATCTGGTTGCATTACACAAGCTGGTTCAATGCAAGCAGGCTGAACGCAGTATGCAGATTTCTTTGTCTCCAAGCTTGAGTTTGAAAATCTTACAAGGGTGGGCGAAACAGCACATCTTAAAGAAAGGTCAAAATCTGAAAGCATTATATGTCCATCTTCCCTCACCAAAACATTCTCTGGTTTGAGGTCTCTGTAAATGATCCCGAGCATATGCAAATACTCCAAAGCAAGGAGAACTTCAGCCACATAAAACCTGGAAAAACAAACAGGACATTAAAAGGAGCTATAATTATTCTTAATAGCATGTTCTCACCTCTGGCAATTTGGCAAATAAACATGTGTAAACTCGATGTCCTTCTTTTTATAGTTTTGCTCCTCTCTTTCTTTAAAGGGTTTCTAGTTCTGCTTCTCTCTTTTCTCTAAAGGCTATTATTGAAATATGATTCCTCTTGTAACCTAAACCGAACTGTGTATATGTGTGGCGTAAATTGAACGTAACTCAGTGAGGGAGGGAGGAGGGAGGGAGTGTTCTACATACAGACCATAAGTCTTACAAAGACAACCTTAACCATTACTGAAACCACAAAATTCCATTAATAACCTAAATGACACCGAAAGAAATGTCTCACAAGTTACAGCTGGAAGCCACATAGAAGTACGTTTCGAAATGGCGAAGCATACAATGGTTGATAGTCTGGAGAATATTGTAAGCATGGGTTCAAGTTACCTAGTTTTTACCACCAAATGTTTTCCTTGGTTATGGCTAACTGTTTAATCAATAATATCTGTTTGCTCCTTAATTTTCTTTCTTACTCATAGACAAAATAAGGTAACTAGGTGGTTCACTATATGTAGTCATTAGACCAAAGAGTAAACTTAAAGTAGAAGTTGAAAGCAATATCTAACCTGGCAGCATGCTCTGGAAAATGCTTCCCAGGTTGTTTTTGCCTGAGTGCATGCAGATCACCCCCAGGGCAAAACTCCATCACCAAGCAAGAGAACTTATCTGTCTCAAAGTGTGTATACAATGTGGGCAGAAAAGGATGATCCAGAGATTGCAGTATCTCTCTTTCTGTCTGAGCCCTAAGAAGCTTTTTCCTACTTGCCAGTGCTGCTTTATCCATAACCTTCATGGCAAAATAAGTTTTAGTGCCGGCCAGTTCAGATAAATAAACACTGCCTATATCTCCACATCCCAGTCTTCTCAACAACTTGAAATGATTAATACCCAGCATCCCATCATGAGATCGGACAGCTTGCATTGCTTCCCATCTTGTATCATTTGCCTTGTGGGGCTTGTACATGGAATTACTCAAACTACTGGTGCTGCTCTCGTCACTAACATCACTGCCAGTACTGCCTCTATAGATGCTGTTCTTGCTGCTCTCAATAAGCTCACAGGAATTACTAACTTCACCACTTTCACCAGACTTCTCAATGCTGCTTGTACATTCGCTGACTTCTGTGTTGGTGAAACTCTGTTTGGCTTCACAATATAGAGAGGCAGAATACAAACTGTTCTGAGGGCTTGCACAAAAGGTTGCTGCTGGGTGAGAAATTAAGTGGCTATTTTTCTGCCCAGAAACTCCTTTACATGGACCTAAAACATGATTTCTAGATTCCAGAAATCTACTCGAATCACTACCATCAACAGGATTCTTCATGCTTGATTTTGCTTCTAGTACAGAAACCTTGTTCAGATAAGAAGTTTTGGGTGGTTTGTGAAGAACATCATTTGGGCCTCCATGTTCAAGTTTTCCTCCGTTTGAACTGTTGCAATGTTTTCCCATACTCAGAAACTCTTCCTGCTGCATGGTACGGTTAGCTGTCTTGTTGGGATTCTTTTGATTAATTACAGAACCATTTGGATAGCCAACTGTTTTCAAGCCATAAGTATGAGCAGTCACACTGGATGGGGACAAAAACCCTTCACTTCTAGATTGTTTTGGAGATGGAGGCTGCGAAGGACGAGGAGTACCAGTTGTGGAAGGAGGGTTGTTGCCTACATCTGGTGCAGAATGACAAGTCTTCGATAAAGAATCAACCCCATCAGCCAGTGACTCCATAGCTTTCACACTGCCACTGCAAATTCCAACTAAGCACAGAGATTATAAAAGATGCAATTTCCAATGTAATCTCTCTACTAAATGCATTAATTACAGAATCTTCAACTGAAATGTCTTCCTAGAATCAAAATAAAGTAACAAAAGAGTAGGGGAAGAAACTGCGTTTTAGGACAATTTTGAAATACAGAATGCAAATTCAAGCAAAACATAATTCACAAAATCTGCACAGACAATATACAATTAAAGAAAATCCCATGAGGAGAAAACAAGATATTCTCTACAGCTGAACCGAAATTCAAGATGCGAGCCTCAATCCACAATCTAATGAATGCCAGAAGCCAACGACTTATAGAATAATCAATGGCACCACGAAAAGGGAAAAAATTACATTTCTTTAACAAGTTTCTCAATAACCCAAACGCCCTTTTCGGTGGCAAAGAAATGTTCGACGATAAATAAATAAAAAAACTGATTATTTGACAAAACTTTCAACACAAATTTCTCTTCATTTGGGAGCCAAGAAAGCCAAATTCTCCACTGATTGGAGTCCAATACAGATGAACACGAAACCCAAGTTCTAATTTTGATTCTTTGCAAACCAAACCAAACCTGACTTTTTTTAATTTCTTTTTTCTTTCCC